ATTTTCAATGTTTAAATGGCCCGTGAATGTGCTCAAATGAAACCCTTGGTGGTTTGAAGTGCTCAAGTTGCAGTTCAGAAAATTTCAACCCCTTGAAGCAGTTTTTCCCCCTGCCAAAGAAACCTAGAGAAGTTTGGCCCAAAAGTTAAAGGCAGGGGGAAACATACCACTTTGCATTTAGTAAAATGGGCGGGGATGGAAACCCCATATTAGGGTTTAAAGGAAATGACAGGGAAGGGGGCTTTGCACCAAAAGCAACTTTAGTGGCCCGCGAGGTTACTGATAGGGGCTTTTGGTAATGAGAAGGGGGAAAATATTGTAAATTAAAAAATTTGGATTATTTTATGTAAAAATTTTTCTTTGATTTTAAAAAATAAAGGGGGTTGGATTAAAACTTAGGGTTAGGAAATAACTTGACAATTGTCCTGTTTTAAATATTAAATGGGGGGAAAAGGGGATTTTTTGGGGGGGGTGTAGTTCTGCGGGCTTGTAGTCTTAGGGAAACCTAATTATAGGGCACCTTGTTGGAAGTGGGGTAAGCGCCTTTTGGCTTTAATTTCAGCTCCTTTGTTCGTCACTTTTGGGGTAAAAACTCGTGTCAGGTCTAAAAGTGGTACACCCCATTGGGAGGTGCTTTGCCACCCAAAAGCCCAAGGAAAAGCATGATCGGGAGACTTGAAAGGAGCTGCTGCTGTTGCAGAGCTCTACAGGGAGATTTGAACGGAGCTGCTGCTGTGTCAACTCTGGCAGGGGGATTTGAGAGGAGCTCTGTGGGTGTGGCTTTTGGGGGAAAAACTGCTGAAATTTAAATCTCTGGGGGAGACGTTGGAGACACTGGCGATAAAAGGGGTTGGAGCAGTACTCAGCTGTGTAGGTCTTGGGACCCTTTCTTAGTTCCCGTGGGGAACCTCCTCTAAAATATATTTAAGTTTTTCTTTTTGCAAAGTAATTGTATTCCCCTTTTCACTGCTTAAGTACCACCCCCATTTATCAAAAACCCCCAAAAATGTTCTCCTTTTTCCTAAATATAATTTTTATACAAAAGACTTAATAATAAACTGTGTGAGTAGAATAGTAATATTCACTGTCCCCATTATTGTATTTGTATTTCTTACATTTTATTATGTTTATATGTGAGTGAAGAGTGGGCGAGTCATATGGTAGTGAGTAGTGTAGAGTTAATGAGAGTGTCATGGTGGTCACCACTGACCTGTCATACCTTCCATGCCTCCTTCCTGCTCACTTCTGTCTCCCTCCTACCTACTCCCTCTCGATTACTCCCCTTTACTCACATATTCCCCAAAATGCTTTTCATTCCAATACCCCCGTACATGACACAGCAAGGGGGCGATTGGAGGCAGTGGAGATGTCCTGTCTAAGGGTAACGTGTGGTGTAAATATTATGCAGAAAATTCGGTGTGTGGAAATTAGGAGGTGTGGAGTTCATAAAAGTATTAGTTAGAGGGCTGAAGAGGGTTTGTTGAGGTGGTTTGGTCATTTAGAGAGAATGGATCAAAGTAGAATGACATGGACAGCGTATAAATCTGTATGGGAAGGAAGGCAGGGTAGGGGTTGTCTTTGAAAAGGTTGGAGAGAGGGGGTAAAGGAGGTGTTGTGGGTGAGAGGTTAAGACTTCCAGGAAGCACGTGTGAGCTTGTTGAATAGAAGTGAATGGAGACAAATGGTATTTGGGACCCGACAAGCTGTTGGAATGTGAGCAGGGTAATATTTACTGAAGGGATTCAGGGAAGCCGGTTATTTTTATATAACCGGACTCGAGTCCAGGAAATGGGAAATACAATGCCTGCACTTTAACTGAGGGGTTTGGGATATTGGCAGTTTGGAGGGATATTACTGTGTATTTTTTATACGTATATACTTCTAAACTGTTGTAGTCAGGGCACCTCTGCAAAAACAGTGATTATGTGTGAGGTAAAAGTGTTGAATGGTGATGAAAGTATTTCCTTTTTGGGGATTTTCTTTCTTTTTGGGTCACCCTGCCTCGGTGGGAGATGGCCCGACTTGTTGGGAAAAGAAAAAAAAAAGTATTATCAGTGTGTGTGTATGTAAAACAATAGTTAAGTTTTAAAAAATGTATTTTCTGTGAAGATTTTTGTTGCAGAGGTTGGTGGATGAATTTGGTAGGGTATGTAAAAAGAAAATTAAAAGTGAATACAGGAAAGAGTAAGGTTATGAGGATAACAAAAAGATTAGGTGATGAAAGATTGGATATCAAGATTGGAGGGAGAGAGTATGGAGGAGGTGAATGTATTCAGATATTTGGGAGTGGACGTGTCAGCGGATGGGTCTATGAAAGATGAGGTGAATCATAGAATTGATGAGGGAAAAAGAGTGAGTGGTGCACTTAGGAGTCTGTGGAGACAAAGAACTTTGCCCTTGGAGGCAAAGAGGGGAATGTATGAGAGTACGTATAGTTTTACCAACACTCTTATATGGGTGTGAAGCATGGGTGATGAATGTTGCAGCGAGGAGAAGGCTGGAGGCAGTGGAGATGTCATATCTGAGGGCAATGTGTGGTGTGAATATAATGCAGAGAATTCGTAGTTTGGAAGTTAGGAGGAGGTGCGGGATTACCAAAACTGTTGTCCAGAGGGCTGAGGAAGGGTTGTTGAGGTGGTTCGGACATGTAGAGAGAATGGAGCGAAACAGAGTGACTTCAGGAGTGTATCAGTCTGTAGTGGAAGGAAGGCGGGGTTAGGGTCGGCCTAGGAAAGGTTGGGGGAGGGGGTAAAGGAGGTTTTGTGTGCGAGGGGATTGGACTTCCAGGGGGCATGCGTGAGCGTGTTTGACAGGGGTGAATGGAGACAAATGGTTTTTAATACTTGACATGCTGTTGGAGTGTGAGCAAAGTAACATTTATAAAGGGGTTCAGGGAAATCGGCAGGCCGGACTTGAGTCCTGGAGATGGGAAGTACAGTGCCTGCACTCTGAAGGAGGGGTGTTAATGTTGCAGTTTAAAAATTGTAGTGTAAAGCACCCTTCTGGCAAGACAGTGATGGAGTGAAAGATGGTCAAAGTTTTTCTTTTTCGGGCCACCCTGCCTTGGTGGGAATCGGCCAGTGTGTTGTTAATAAAAAAATTTTGTGGGTCTGAAACGGATTAATTGGATTTACATTATTTCTTGAGGGAAATATTGCTTCAACTTTATGACGTTTCGCCTTTAGTCCAAGCCCCTGGAACGGATCGAGGACGAAACTCGGGGTTCCACTGTATATACTCTTAATATTTGTATTCATCTCAAATATTAATCACACTATTGCATCTGCCTAATGTTAATAATAAAAAAATGTACACCTTCTCTACAAGATTTATTAAAGCCATACAGGATGACTTAATAGAATACTCAAGTCTCTTGTATTCATTGTAACTTGTCTAATGATAATTTGTACTGTTATTGCCTTATTAACCCTTTGACTGTTTCGGTCGTATGTATACATCTTATGCACCAATGTGTCTGGCGTATTTATACGCGTAAATTCTAGCGGCTTCAAATCAAGCGGGAGAAAGCTGGTAGGCCTACATGCGAGAGAATGGGTCTCTGTGGTCAGCGTGCAACACAAAAAATCCTGCAGCACGCAGTGTGTAATGAAAAAAAAAAACTGACCATTTTTTTGGATTAAAACGCCAACTTTGAGGTGTATTTTCCTATAGTATTTATCACTGTATTCTCGTTTTCATGGTCTCGCGTGATAAAATCGAAAACATATTACAGAAATAGAGATGATTTTCATTACTTTCATGATGAAAATGACCTTAAAATTGAGCTCAAATTAGCGGAAATGTTCGATTTTTACCAATGTTCAGGAGTAAGCAAATCACACCACACGTCCAATACACTTCAACTAGGGAGTCTAATATTCTTTCACTAGTACACTGATATTATTTATACCATTTTTACAATAATGCAGTAGTCTGCATAACAGTAAATTTTCTATTTTTTTTATATGAATAAAAAATCAAAATAGAAAGCAAGAGTAATATAAGAGGAGCCTAGAGACGTGACTAATGAACAGAGGATGTGTTATTTTAGTGACAAGAATGTCTACATTGTAAAATTTTGGACCCTA